AAAACTAAAAGGTAAGGTTGTGGAACTTTTTGTCTTGCAATTTCCCCTAACCCAGATACAGTAGTTCTCTCTGGCCCTTATTTTTGCACCAAGTCCAATGATCTTGTGACTTTTATCTACCACAGCTTATCCAACCCGTCTGATGGGTACATCTACATCCATCAAGGTTGGTTTTCCGTCCCAGTAAATATATTTCGCCGCAGCCTAACAAAGTCTTCCCACCAACAAGCGATTTACTTCTGCAATTAGTGTTGACAGTGTCCCTGACGAAGTGGCTACGAACCCTACAGATAAATTTTTGAATTTTTTTATGTAAGCCGGGTACTTTATGGTGGTTGTAAGCAGCAAAAGTTTAGTACTTTCAGAAGTAACTGTTGATGATTGAGAAATGATTGTTGCATATAGCCTCCATAAGACAATCTTACGATTTTGATGACCTAGATGCCTATCGTAATGCTGATGGTCATGGCAATAATGAGAAAAATAGAGATGAAAATGATGACAATGGTCATGTTAATATAAGATTCTCACTTAAGGAGTTAATCTAACGAATCTGGTGCTGATAACGAGGGCAGCATCAACTCTAACTACGTCTATTATAATATCGATCGCGCTGTCACGCACTAACGATCATCATAGACTTAGTTCCATGATGATGATTATGATAACAAAGTTTAATTAAAAACAATATTAACACTCACGGAGTGAATCTAACGAATCTGGTGCTGAAAACGAGGGCAGCATCAACTCTAACTACGTCTATTATAATATCGATCGCGCTGTCACGCACTAACGATCATCATAGACTTAGTTCCATGATGATGATTATGATAACAAAGTTTAACTAAACTTGCAGATTATTTTACCAGGCCAAATTTTTCGATGTAAAATCGTAGAAAATCGTATTAAATGGAACCTAGAAAATTTCTCAATTCGTTCATAATTTCTAAAAAAGGAAACAACTGGCAGAAAAGGAAAGGAAAATTTGAGTTCGCCAAAAGTATGAAACAAAATTTACTTACAAGCAAATAATTTGCTGACTTTTGGTAGTCTCAAACTCATTTATTCATCCATCCTTGAGCACTTTCTTGAGTGAATATTTTCTCTTTAGCATTTAAACACTTCCTCAACAACAAAAAGAATTCATGTTAAATGAGTTAAAATAATGTTAATTTTTTGTTCTTTCCCTTTCTCTTCTCTCTTACTTTCTTCACTCATTTCTTACTTTCGGTCATTACACGGCGTAATAATAAAAAGTTCTTCACTATTTTCATTTCTTTGCATTATCCGTTAACCACCAACTAAACTGCCATCAAGATTGGCCATGGAAGTACCATTTTTACCATATAATAAAAACATTCAAAGCAAAGAATACATTCAATTTAACTCATTTGACTCTCTTCGCGTCTTTTTGTTAATCAAACCCAAATATTAATGAATGAATTTTTGCGACGATTTCTGATGCTTCATTTGATGCATTCATGATTTTCATGATGCTTAAGCTATCCATCAATCTTTCGTCTCTTAATAAATCAAGATAATTGTTTTGCTTTTTCATTTTTCTTTACAAACTTGCTTTTGCCTGCTTCATCCTCATCATGTTGAAGCCTCAAACTCAATTGGTAATTGCCTCAAGTGATTAATGATAAAAGCTGATCTTATTTACTGTAAATATTAGCAAAGTTTCAAAGTCACTGTCCATCAACTGCAAGATCAGTAAATTTCAATGTTTAACTTCCAAATTGTCGAGTTCGTTTACTCGATTAATTGCAAATAGTCTTTCATGGCGACACTTGATGTTCCTTCAAATTAACCCTCAAACTGAGAATTTCATTTCTCAGAAAAGTTCGATTCTTCTCAGCTCATTTCACTTTTAATTGTCCAACAAATCTAACAGAATATATTCACATGGACTGCATCATAAATGTCTCACAATGGAAGCAAGATAAATCACTGAAATCGAGTCTAATTGATCTTCAGTAAATAAACTATGAAACTAAATTATGATCGTCGAGAGATCTTTTCATTTCAAGATAAAGTGAATGTTCAATTCTCAATATTTATTGCGCTCCAGTTTCTTTAGCAAATCGCCAGTCAAAGATATTTTTATCTCTCTTCTGAAGTTTTATTAAATTTTAAAATTATCTTGAGGCTTTCCATTTATTCAACCAATTTATTTACCTATGAAAATGATGGTTGAAAACAGTTGGAATCTGATCATGTTTTTGTAACATTGAATAGTGTTGAACAAGAGGGTGAAATAGGAAGAGTAAAAGTAGTTCAACTTGAGGCAAAAAACCAAGAAATATTATTTATAATCATTTTATTGGATGACATTGAACAGAACAGTTTCATGTGAAGGAAAAAAAATTTAATTATTGACACACCCAATTGTGTTTACTATTTCTTTTTTTCTTCTCTCATATTATTCAATAGCAACATGAATGATAAAAAATAATAATAGCGAGCAAAACTGGGAAGGTAAAGAAGAGTTTTTAACACTATAATTGGTTATATTGAGTATGAGATGGAACCAATTTCCAATTGAATGAGGAAAAGGAAAACTTGAAAGTAAACCCTGAAGGTACAATTTTCTAGTTCACTTTGTAGTTTCGAGTGAAAATCAAAAGCAAAATTGTTTGGGAATCAAGTTATTTCGTCGAAAGGAATTGAACACAGCGACAACAACAAAATCTGCCAAAATTGAAAATAAAGTTCAACTCATGGAATCCAAAAACTTTCATTTCATCTCCAGGAGAAAAGCTCAGCATTCAGTCTTTGCTTAGATAACCATTCCAATCTTTTCCATGTTAATTTTCTTTCGAAATTTCTTTCCATGGCTAGTTCAATGTCAATTCTTCTTCTTCAATCCAATTTCTGCTTTTCTCTGATTTTAGTTTCAAAGTTTGCTACGAAAAACATCGAGAAACTCCAGAAATGATTTGTTCATTGAAAGATATTATTGAACAGTTTAATTTTCGATTTTTGCTTGAAAGCGATGACTTGGATGCTTCGAATGAACGAATTCAAGAACGAAAAATTGCTGATAAACATTGAAATTTTGAGAAAAGCCAACTTGACCAAAGAATAGAAAAATTGAAAATTTGAAGAAACTTTGAAAAAAATTGATTTTGATGAAATTTTAAACTTTTCATTTTCCATGATTTATTCAGAAATGCAAGTCGAAAGTGCCTTTCATCGAAAAGTTGAGCAACCTTTTGTTCACTCGTCATTTCACTAATGACACCAATGATGATAATGGGCAAAAGAAAATGTTGAAAATTGATGGACGTAAAAGACTGTGAAAATGGCCTTATTTATCGATTCAACTTTTGTCTTTCATCTCATGCCATTTGATCAGATATTGACAATTGTCAAATCATCAGATTACCCACAGAAGCAAGCAGTGAAAAAAGACGAAAAAAAGGTTGCCAGAAAAAAGCAGAAGAAAAAGAAGAAGAAAGTAAAAAAAGAAAAGGAAAAGAAAAAAAAATGCATAATAATAATGATCTGAATAAAGATTGGCAAACATGGATTCAGTTCATTTACTTGAGGCCTTTTTGCTTTTGTTTTTAATACCATGTAAAGAAAGAGGACTTGACTTGCTTCCCTTCAACCTTACCCTGTCTCCTGATTCCCTTTTTATCCGCCTTCTCATATTCATCATCATCCTTTCATCAGCCATCTCATACCAAAGGGTGGAGGCTTTTTACCTCACTATTCACTCACTCACTTTGCCTTTACTTGAACGCATCTGATGACACCATGATATTCATTTGATCTCACGCCCTGCAATGAAATATTAGACTTTTTTCCAAGATTATTTCTCTTCTTCTTCTCTTCCTTAAAAGTATTACGAACTACAAGAAAAAGAGCAAAAATGAAGAGAGAAAAGACGAAGCAAAAAAGTTCTCTACGATAAAGAAGCCAAAAGTTCGACTTATGCATTTTCTTGTCTATAATTTATCCAGTCCTTTATTTACATCATTATTTTTGATATTTTTTCACTCCCAGCACCAGACTGCAACTTTTTGTTTCATTTTTTGCTTCTTCTTCTGTCTTTGCTTTCGATTCTTCTTCTTCTTTTGCATGTAAATTGGTGAATAGTGATTTTCAGTTGGGTCATCAGCAAGATCATCATCAACCTGATCATCAACAACACCATCATCGACAACAACAGCTTCATTGTTTGTGATTGTTAAAATGATAAAGTGTTTGGTAATGGAAAGAGAAAGGAAAAAGGGCAAAATGCGATTCTTTGAAAAAAAAGTAGAGCAATCCTTGATCGTTATTATTCTGGACAAAGAAAAGTTTCCCTTTTTTTGTGCCTCAATAATGCATTATTATTATTTGCATCCATAGATGTCGAGGTCAAGGAATGAATATTGATAGATGATAATCTTGGAAATGATTGATTTTGCAGAGTTGAACAGCTCAAAGGAAAAGTCCAAAAGTTGCATTAATAAACTGGTTTATAATCACTTTTTTCGTGTTATTATTATTCGTTCAACCTCCATAATTATTCAATGGCAATTTAATTATCTTTATTGTTATCTGTGACTTTGTTTGCTCTTTTGGTTTCATCATTTTACCATTCAACTTTTTTCTCCTCTCTTCATGGGATTCAAGTTTGATTTGTTTGCTTTCTTCTTCTTCTTTTTCTTCTTCCCTGTCTCTTCCCTGTTATATTTTATTTACTTCATTGATTGTTCATTTCTACCGATTCTTTCTCTCTCTTCATTCAAACGCTTTTTTAGTTTTTGTGTTAAATTGGCTGGTAAAAGATTAGAGATTATTATTGAGGCTGGGAATGGAAAACGAGAAAAAAAGCAAATAATGAGAAGAAGAAGAAGAAGCGATAAGAATATCAAACAATCAGTTATTGAGCAATTAACGATTTAATCAATTAACTGACAAGTTGATTTAGGATGAGAGTTGATTGGTAAAGTGAAAAACAAACGGATAACAACCAGAAGAAAAAAGAAGAAGCAAAAGGCAAACAAAAAAGGCAATTGATGAGACTGAATGAGTGAAAAATGTTAACATGAACTGCTAATGAACTGGAAAGCAAAACTTTTCTGCATTTTTTTCCTTCTTCTTCTCATCAATCTAATAGAATATAAAGTTGTAAAAGTTTTTAAAGGTTGAGCTTTTGTTTTGCTTTTCGCTTAAATTTGGTAAAACAATTTATTCTCACAGCTTTACTCATGGAATCCATTTCAGGCAAAAAGTAAATGAGACAAAAAATTGAATCCAAGTTTACATTTTAAATTTTCAAATCATTTCGATTTTCAATGTAAATAGAACATGTTTTCTCGCATAATTGGACCGTTTACTCAATGTTTGATTCGTTTGGGCCAAAAGATTGAAATATCAAGAGAATCGATCGAAAAAGTGATTATCCATGAAATTTTTCAAATTTATGTTCAAGAACAATTCTATTCAATTGGGTCAAACATTGCGCCGAAAAATATCGCTTCATAGCAACGAAGATCAGCTGATGGACTGATAAAAATGATCTTAACGGTAAAGTAATTTCGCTCATTTAGTTATTGTTTTTATTAAATTTTATTTTTTTAACATTCTTTCAATTTATGAAATAAACTAAACCATGTTTCCCTTAGTTGGATCAGCGTTATATTTCATGTTTAATGGTGAGTTTGTTTGAGTGAATTTTACTGACTATTAATTAAAACGATTTCTATTTCTTGTCTCCCAGTCCCAGGCACAGTTTTTGCGTCAAACTCCATTTATAGTAGCAGAAAGTTTTTTGAAAAGTACAAGAAATATTGTAAAGTGAAAATGCCGAGCCATTGTGATGATTCGATTTCACTCGAAAAGGTGATTCAAAAGGAAACACTCGAAACTGAATACACTTTAGAACCAGAACTGTTAGTTAGCCATGAGGATAAAGGTAAAAATAGAGGTAAAAAGTCAAAAAAGGCGATAGCAGCGGAAAGGATTGCAAGAACTGCTGTGGTTTATGAGTGCGTCTATTGTGGTCGCTTGATGGACAGCTTATATTATTTAAAATTCCATGTTATCGGTCAAAGGCGGTCAATATATAAAGGATACTATGTTCTAAGAATAGATTGTCCGAAAAGATTGCAAATGGATGGACTATCGTACAACAAGAAACTAATACCCATTTCATGTCCACCTCCTAAAATTAAAGTTTGGGCAAATATTATTTGTCAAGATCCAAGAGTTGTCGACGCAGAAGGTTATTTTCCTGTTCCAATTGAGATTGCATCTGAATGGGAACAATTTTATTCACAATACATGATTTGAAAATCGAATCAAATTTTTCATGTTTATTTTTGTGATCATTTACTTTATGCAATAAAAAATCCCAAGTAAAGAAAATTTTGAAAATGGTCAAAAACTTTGTGTGCTGTAAATCTTCAACTTATCTTTGGTTTTAAATCTTGTCTTGTATAGAGCGACAAGAGTAAATTGATTCCGATGGAAAAATTTTCTATCTTGAAGTGTCATTGGAATAGGTGTCTGTGTTGAACGCGAAAATGCATTCATAAAGAAAGTGACACTTCAAAGCGATGTTTTCGTTCATTTTTACTATCAATTGTTTTCTTCTTTTGCCCATCAAAATACAAATCGCGAAGCAAAAGTTATTCAAGTGAAAGGAGAAGTTGAGGAAAAAAAGTTTCCAATCATTTCTACTTTTCTCAGCATAACATCATCTTGTTCATCATTTTGATTCCATCAAGATTGCCGTTGCTATCTTCATCATCATAATCATTATTTTTGCTTTTATCATTGGAAAATCGAAATTGATGATTTTCATTTTTTCTCCTCAGAGATAAACTTTACCATTTTATGCAAGAGTGAAAAATAGTTGGAAATGTTTCCCTTCTTTACTCTGGTTTATGTTTATCAAATGCTGAATACAGTATCTGATAGAAGCGAATGGAATAACGAAAAAGAAAAAACGAAAACTTTGAGAAGACTTTTTTTTGTTCCAAAACAAAACACAATTTATGTATCATCAAGGTACTTTGTTAGCCTACTGAATGTGAGGGCGTTTTTCTTGGTCTTTGTGATGCTTCCATCCATTTGGGAGTTGAATAGTTGATAGCAATAACTTTGAGAGTAAAATGAGTAAAGAAAAGGATAGAAAGTAGAGACAAAAAAGATTTATTTTTATTATAAAAGGTGACACGAATTTTACTTTTCCCAATCTTATTCTTGTTTCTACACTTTTTCATACAAATTGATCTGCACTGAAAGATTCACAGGATAAGAAGAGTACAAATATCATTCAAAAGAGTCGATTTTCATTGCCCTTTCATTAAAAAAGTTCAAACACTATTATTCTAACCATGCTGAACAGTGATCAAATTCACCATCAAAGCTACTAAAACTTGAATCGATAGCTCAAGCGTCACTGGATCGAATACCATCATTAGAACTCTATCGAACCAAAAAATTAAAATCGGTTTTGATGGTTTTACCATCAGTTAGTAAACCCAACCTGACTCAATGAGCCTCAACCTAGAAGAGCGACCCTTCAAGATTAACTTTTAGATCTCAAGCAGCTACCAATCTCGATACTCTTCAAGTTTCATTATTGATAAATGATAATCTATTTATCATCAAAACTAGAAACTTCAATAATCTCAAGTTGACTAATTAATCATTTGATTTTTGAACTTTGAGTTTACAAAGAATTGAACATTTGAATGACTCGATTCCTCTTTAACCTTTATCAACTTTGTACTTAGTTTTTTGTCTATTCTCATCTCACCCATTATTTCGTTGTTTTCCTGAGGTTTGTGTTTTTTTTCTTGTTCACTTGTATTTCATTTTGCTTTCACCTCAAAAGTTGTAATAATGTTTTGTATTAAATCAAGTGTGGTAAGAATGTATTAGAAAAGTTGTTTTCATCTCATCTTTCGCCTTTACTCTTTACTGCAAATTACAAGTTTACTGTTACTTTGCTTTCCTCTTACAGATGCACATCACGCTTATTGAGAAGTGTGTTATAGTAATGGGTGTTGAAGATGCTCATCATCACTGAATTTCATGGTGAATTTTGGGTGAGCAAAGAATAAAACAGAACAGAAAAAAAAGAAAAGAAACTTTTACCTTCAAGGCTCAACATTTTCCATCTTCTTTCCTCTTTTCCCTTCTACTTCTGTATCTTTATCAAATTTTTTACATTTACTCTCTTCTCCTCTTTCCACTGTTTTTACCCTTCAGGCTTGTTCATGAAGAAGACAAAAAATTCAATATTTCTCACCTTTTCCAAGGTGTGCAAATTGAAGGGAAACTATTGCTTATCAAGATGAGCTTTTCCAGAAAATGGAAAAAAGAGAAAAGTAGAAAAATTTCAATTTCTCACTTTTTTTACCGGAAACTTGGAAGCAAAATAAAAACAATTTTCCAATTGAGTTTAGTCTTTTCAACACAAATCAATACTCGATATAAAATGATCATTTGTTTGTTGAACAAATATTGTAATTGTAAAGACGAAAAGAATCAATCGCTTTTTTTGGTTCCTTTCATTCAATTCTTTCATGTTTTTCCATGTAATAAATTATAATTGAAACAATATGTAATCAAGTTGACATTTGATAAAGCAAAAAGGATTATGTTTGTGTTTTTGTTTCAATCATTGATGATGATCATGATCATTATCTTTATGATGCTCAAGATTCTCATGTAACTATTTTTGTTTCCATTCTCAGTGGGAATAAACTTTGCTACTATTGAATCCAATCAATCAGTATTTGTCAGGGTAAATTGTATTGAACCAGAGTTTAGTTAAAGTTGCCACCAAAACATGTACCAAACTCAAGTGGTACAAGCCTCAGGTAAAAGGATGAAAAGGAAGAGGAAGGCGAAGAAGAAGAAGAAGAAGAGGAAAAAAAGTGAAATCAAACAAGAGCTAATTTAAGTGAAATGATGGTCAACAATTGAGAGACTAAAGATGAAGATAATGAGGAATATCAATTGTTGGATCATCATGAACATCAAGTGTAAAATGAACAGAATGAAGAGTGAAAATAAACAGGAGAAAGGAAATGGAGGGAAAAAACGAAGAGAAAAGATGATCGATGCTGGGCAATGGACATTGGGATTGGAATTGAGAAACTGACCAATTGGATGAGATGATAAATGAATGGGTAAAAAGGCTGATTGATAAAGTGAAGGGATAAAAAGGAAACTTTTGACATGAAATTTCATCTTCTTCTTCTTCTTCGTCTTCTTAAATCGATGTAACAATAAACACTGAATGTTGCTGTTGCTTTGAAGGGAATCAGTTGATGGCGATCATGATGATGGCTCGTAAGATGAAAATGAAAATGATAAATTGAGCATGACTTGAGTAGTACTAAAGATTGGAGCAGTTTCAAGTTATCACGCGATCTACAGTCAGTATACATTTGGATTTTCATTTTTACTCAACTCTTTTTACCATGATAATGTGAAGCTTTCCAGGCCAGGCTTATCCTCTTCCATTTCATTTTATCATTCATTTCCATCTCAACCTTTGGTCTTGTCTTTCAACTTTGGGTTTCGTTTTGCGAAATGTCCAATAATTGTCCTTTTTCATTCTCATCTCGACTTTCATTTTTATATACTTTTCCGTATTTCATTTCACAAATCATTGACCTCAATTTTCATGATAATATTTCTTGCAGAAATGCATTCCTTGGAAATGGTTGCACTGGAAACTGGTCACTGGTTGAAAGATTAAAGATATTTCACGAAAATCTGATTTCACTTTTCATTTCGATTCTGATTTGTTTAAAGGTAAATCTCGGGACTAGAAGCTTCATTTGGTTTGACAAAAGATTTGGTGAAATTGGAGCAACATTTTCCATATCATTTCTTGTTGAAATTGAATGGAATTGAATTTGGCATTTAATTAATTTTAAGTTAAAATTGTTCAACTTTCCCTAATGACATACTTGATTTAATTGTAAACAAGTCTCGTTAAAAAACGGCAGTTGATGCCTTTCGGGCTTGAGTAACTTTCGCTGTCATTTATTGAACATTTTTTTCAATAAATGTTGAGTTAAATTTGGGTTAAACTCTTGAATGGTGAAAAAGGGAGGATTTTTGTTGCTCTTTGCTGTTCAAGTAAAATCATGAGTTTGTCTCATCAAACTTGACAGTCAATGTTTTGCTTGGTGAGTTTATGCGTGCTGACACAAAACTTGATACACAGGGCTTACATCTTAAAGAGGACAGCTTTCATGATCGAAGAGGTTGGAAAGATGATCACAGGAATGGGTTTACTCTTCAGTTTATCAATTATTTAGTAAAGAAATTATGGTTAATTAGATTTTTGCCTGTGAATAAATGTGTCCAAAGAGAGGAGAGCAAATGTTCTGAATAGATTAATGTTGCCTGTGTTCAGGGATCATTATTTTTCCCCTTTCATCTCTTCTCATGATTTAGGTTCATTTTTTTATCTTCTTCTTCTTCTACTCATCAAATGATGATGTTTCAACCGTTTCATGGTTTGGTTAGATTAGGTTGGATTAAGTTGGATTAGCTTTGTTTTTGATGAAAAACTTTGATTTCATATTTTCAATCAACAGGTTCAACCTTTTTACCCAAAATTGAATAACTTGACTCTTGTGGAAAGGGTAAGCTTTTTTGTTCCTCTCCTCTAAGTTTACCAAATTTGTGCTTAGCTTTTTGAAATTGGAATGAAAAAAATTTGTTCAACTCTTATAAAGTATTTTGGGTGAAAAAAAAAGATTTTGGTTTCATGATTTGCTCTTTATTGGCTGGGAATGGAAACCGTGTCTGGATAAAAAATGGTAAATGTAGGGATTAGAGATTGAATAAGTCAAACTGTAATCAGATAATCTTTGGAATTTTCATTTTCTACTCTTCTCTTTTTTATCTTACCTTTCAATTCTGTCTCACAGGGAATCAATTGATAGCAGAATCATTGTTCAAATAGATTTGAAGGTAAAAGAAGAAGAAGAGAAAAAGTAAAATGAAAACAAATAAAAATATATTATTATAAGGTGAAGAACTAGAAGAGAAACATAAAAGGTTGAAAGATTTGAGAAAGTTCATTTCATGGTTCTCCAATCTATTTAGAAAGATTCAATTGATATAAAAAAAGAGGATGAAGATGATGATCAGAAGGAAAGAAATTGAAATGAACAATCCGGGTAAAGACTGAATTTGATATCGATTGAAGGATAAAGAAAAGTAGGGATCGATGAAAATCACAATACAAAATTTATAAATACAAAACAGTGAAGGTTGCGTTTTATGGATTAGATTGTCTCCTTTTTTTGTCATTACCTAACCAATAAAAGAGTAATCATTCATGGCAATGGAGTTAGACATGTTTGCTAGAGTTGAATAAACATGGACATTTTATTGTGATTTGCAAATTTTAAGGGCAAATCAACATAGTCAACAATTAGTAGTAGAAACGGTTTGTAACCAAGGTTGACTGTTAGAGGTAACATCCAGTAAAAATAGATGATTTATTGAAATGTTAATCAGATTTGTTTGATTCCATTGAGTAGTCAGATGATTTGGAAGACACTGGATAAAATGTAGACGCAAGACAATTGAAATATATTCCAACAATTGGCAACAATTTGAAATTAAAAGATGGTAACCAGTTTATTGTTGGTATTGAATTTGGTTCCATATTATTGAAAAAGATAATAACGTTAAGATCTTGAAGATTTTGAAGTATTTAGGTTGTTTCCCACCGAATTGAAGGCCTTTTCTAGATTAACACTGGTCATCTTTTGTCCACAAAATTGTAAAACATATTTTTCGATTAATTAATTATTAAAAGCAATTAGAATGGGTTAAATTGTTTATTATCTTTGGCTTGTTAATTTTAACGCGCAAGGTTGTAATGGAAAAAAGCGCCAAAAGTTTAAGGGTAAACACTTTTGCCATCTATTGTTGAAAGGATGAAGTAAAACGTGGATCTTTTGAGAAAGGATTTTTTGTTTTTGTATTAATGGTTAAGCTTCTAGAGTAATATCAATTATCTAATTGTTTCTTCCTTTTTTCTCTTAGTTTCTCCTCTTTCTACCTTATTGTTAATTTCCTTCTTCTTTCCCTCTTTCACATTGTCTTTCTTTTCTCTTTGCTTCTATTTTAAAGTGGATATCACATTGGAGAAACAACGACCATACACATATATTATTAAAAACTGTAATTGTTACCTTTGTTGTAATCAAAACAAACTGGTAACCAAAATTTCTATTTTAACTCTTCTTCTAAGCCCTTAGCCCATCTTAGGCATGACTCTCGTCGAGAGCAATACTGCTGTTAATCAGCTTCTCGAGAGATGGGAACACGAGTATCTTGTTAATGGCTCAAATGGGAGTCCAGTTGGCATTATTAAAAGGTAAGATTTTTTTATTCTGTAACTTGCAATTTTGATACATTTGTGTGTGATATCTATATGACTAATGGCTCTCTTTTGTCTTCCCTTTCTTTAGAATGTCAGAGATTATCGAAGAATGTACAGAAGCTTATTTAAAAACTGACCCTGATCCCTTTGATGACCGTCATCCTTGTCGAGCTCGACCTGAGTGCGCTCTTGGATTAGTATTGAAAAATCTGTTCAAAAATGAAGAGTTTATGAATAGGGTTTGTTAATTTTGATAAATTTTCACCATTTCGTCGTTTCATTTATCTGTTTAAACAGATGATTACTCTTAATATTTAGTTCTCTCTAATAGTTTTTACCTTGAATTTTTCTCTATAGTTGGTCAATGATTATCTAATGCACAGAGATGACGTTGAGTTGCAAACACACTCTTGTCGTCTTATGCTCGATATTCTCCCTGGTCTCGAAACTTCCGTTGTTTTCAAAGAAACTGTAAGTTCTATACCCTCCTTCATTTCAATTTCATATCTTTTACTGTTATCTTCTGCAGGAAGGCTTAGTCAATAAATTATATGAAATGGTTCGGGTTGCCAAAGAGCCTTTAAAATCATATGCTACTGGACTGTTAGCCGCAGCCATGGATGTGCAAGACATTGCCATTGAAAATAAAGATCAAAACATGCAACTGGTTCCCATCATGTTACAAAGATTAAATGAGCTGAAGGATAGTAAAAGAGAGCCGACTATAAATGAAAATGACGAAACCGGTTCATCTGATTCATTAAATATGAACAGTAGTCCAAAATCCGACTCAAATTCAATATCAAATTCAAATGGAATAGCAGGGAGTAATAGTGGCTCTGAAATTAAATCAATTAAACGAAGTCATGAAGGAACAAGCAAGTCACCTTCTTTAAAACGTCGTCGTGTGTCAAGTCCGTTAATTATTTTGTCCCCTTCTACTGTGAATAGTGAATGTTCCAATAGTAGTTGGGCTGATATTGAGCCTTACATGATTGGATCTTTCCAAATGTATCCATTGACCCCCGAAATGCAACAAAGATTCATATTTCAATATCTAACACCAATAGGAGATTATCAAGAAATTTTAGTCCATGTTTTCGCTAATGATGCTCTCTCCATCATCAAGCATTATATCAATTTGGAAAAAAATCACGATGTTCGAGTTGCATTTGAGGCTCTTAAATATTTGGCTTCTTTACTCTGCCACAAAAAATTTGCTATCGAATTTCTTAATGGTGGTGGACTTGAATTACTTTTACAAGTTTACAGGCCATCAGTTGCCGCAACCGGAGTCTCCATTTGTTTATATTATTTAGGTTACAATGAAGATGCCATGGAAAAGGTACGATTTTATTCGGACTGTGTTTTATAAGTAGTAATTGGCCCAATATATAAATGTCTAAATATTTTGTTGATTTTTGTAGATTTGTGTTCTTCCTCGCCACATCCTAAGTGATTTGGTTTCTTATGCTCTATGGCTACTAGAGTGTTCTCATGATTCAAGCAGATGCCACGCTACAATGTTTTTCGGATTAACTTTCGCCTTTAGGATTATACTTGATCTATTTGACGCTAAAGATGGACTACGAAAGTTACTCAATGTGGTAAGAATTTAAAATCCACCAACTTCATCTTAATACATATTCATATTTGATTACTCATTTTTAATTTTTTCGCATCTTTCACAGATATTTTTGCTAGACATTTTTGCCGATGAAAGAAGTGCAACTGATGATGAACTATTTACTAAACGTCAAACTGCTCGTCAAGTTTGCATAGCATTGAAACGTTATTTCGAAGCTCACCTCGTAATAGAAGCAGAGAATATCCGTAGATCTCCTTTGCCTGGGTCAAGTTCATCCCAACATAGTGTCAAAAGTCATTCAGGGAATATACCTTCGTACAAAGCTGCACACTACACAGCTGACACTATCCATGAATATGTTGAAAGTTTGTTGGAATTAATGCCTTTACGAATTAATTGGAAACCTGTCGATGAGCTTCTCAAGCTTGGTGGTTTAAAACTTTTAATATCTCTCATATCGAATTCTTCTGATTGGCTCTACACTGGTAAATCAGAAACCATCAAAAGCGCACTTGATGTTTTAGTTGTGTGCTCAGTAACACCTAAATTCCAATTAGCTTTAACAGAAAATACTACTATCTCTGAGGATCGCAACGTTCCAATAATTAGGTAAGTTGAACGTTAAAATAAGTTAGAACCTAACTAATCTCTATTTTTTTAATAGTGTTATATTAGCAGCTGCCTCGGAATCGGAGCTTCCAGGAACCTCAGTTGACCCAGAAGTCAAAAAGTCAGCTCTTCACGTTATTATAAATTGTGTCTGTGGTCCTCTAAATAGGATTGGTGATACAATTGCCCGTCTTTGTTCTGGTACAAAGAAGCGGTCTTTTCGTAATGGTGAAGATGTCTTGACAAAGATGTGGAATGTTGTTCGATCTAACAACGGTATCATGATACTTTTGAATTTATTAACCATAAAAACACCAATCACTGATGCAGATTCTATTCGAGCTTTAGCCTGTAAGGCACTCTGTGGCTTAGCACGAAGTGATACAGTTAAACAAATTATCTCCAAGTTACCATTGTTTACTTCTGGTCAATTCCAATCTTTAATGAAAGAACCGATTCTCCAGGACAAAAGAACTGAACATGTTAAATTCTGTAAATATTGTATCCAATTAATCGAGAGTGTTACTGGTGCTCCAATATCTGCCAATATTGATACTTCACCAGCAAACATTGCCAAAGCTGAAGTAGTTGCACAAACTAAGATAACTTATAATGAACGAGAATTACTCCAATTGATTCACCAACATCTCCTAAACAAGGGCCTCACCCATACCGCCTCGCAACTTCTTCGTGAAGCTAGTCTACCTGTTCCCGCTATACCAACTCCAACTCGAGCTCATCCACCGATTTGGACAACGTCGCCTCTTTCATCGAAAAATTCTCGACCTGTTACTACCCCTGCTTCGTCTACTCCATCTATTCATCCACCAACCTCATTACCAATGTCATCTAACAATCCAAATATTAACAATATCAGTTTACCCATAATACATTCCTCACCTTCATCTTCTATTGATATTCATCAAACAAATCATTTACCAAACACACCAGCAACCCCATCATCACCAATGACAACATCTTTAGTACCATCATCGACATCATCCATACCGATGAAAATCTATCGTTCAACAAATGTCAAAAATTTATCGACTCCGAGAAATTTGATTCGCCAAAAACCTCAACAAGGCGTTTATCAGCCTTCACCGGTAATGAAACGACTCAATGAATCAAATCTCAATCCAGTTCCTTCAATTACTTTGGATTCAATTGTCACAGAGTATTTAAGAAAGCAACATGCTCTTTGTAAAAACCCTGTGGTAACTTGTCCACCTTTTGACCTTTTTGTGCCTCATCGTTGTCCTGAACCATTGAATCGTCATACCGCACCTTTAAACATTACTCTTCGTGTTCAAAGACGAGAGATAGCTCCTCGTTTCGGTGGAATGTATGGTACCAAATTTGATCGTAAATTTATTTACAGTCGTTTTAGACCCGTTCGTACATACAGAGATCCAGATGGTACTAGTTTCACTTCATGTGCCTTCTCATATGTAGAACAGTACTTATTCCTTGGAACAGCTACTGGCGAGTTGGCAGTTTTCAATCTACACCCCGGTGTTTTCGAAACTTCATACACTTGCCATGATTCAGATATAACGTTTATCGAACCATCTCGCGATGGTAAACTTGTACTTACTGGTACGATTTGGAGGTCGCCCCTTTCAGCTTTATGGAAATTTACTGACGTTTTCGATAGAAAATTAGAGTTTCCCGAGGATACTTACTGTGAATTCAGTAAACAAGTCCAAGATAAAGTGTTGGGTACAACCTTATGGTCAGCCAATATGTATGACATTAATACTGGTCAAAAAATTAAGACCTTTGTTGATGAAAATTTATCAAATAAGTATAACAAAAATCGCGCAACCTTTAATCCGACTGATGAATTGATTCTCAATGATGGTGTACTCTGGGATGTACGATCAGGTTCAACGGTTCACAAATTTGATAAATTTAACCAAAGTATCAATGGTGTCTTCCATCCTAATGGTTGGGAAATCATTTCAAACTCTGAAGTTTGGGATTTAAGAACCTATCATCTAATCAAAACTGTTCCCGCTCTCGACCAATGTAGAGTTAGATTTAACAAGACTGGAGACGTAATTTATGGAGGTAAGTTGTAATTTCTTAATTTGACTAACAAATACAAATGAATACTCGTCAGCCAATTTAGATTCAATTTTCTATTCACAATTTTTATAATTCTAAAAAAAACAAAAAATACACAAAAAATACACAAACAAAATTCATCATCAGCTGGTGAGATTCAATCTTTAGCAATATTTGTTTGATCACTGTGTTGTTAATTTTACGGTTTTGTTAATCCTTTTACAGCCATGTTCGAAGAGGAATCTTCTGAAGATGATGATAATACTCGCAGCCCGTTTGGATCATCTTTTCGTACCTTTGATGCCACAGATTATTCCAACATTGCAACCATCGATGTCAAGAAAAGTATATGTGACCTCGCTGTTGACCCAGGAGATAACTTTGTTGCCGTAGTTGAATACCAAAAAGAACAAATGATGATGAGCACGGCCGAATCGGCTTGTCGATTGTTTGAGGTTGGCCGGTGTAAAGAAGAAGACGATGAAGAAGCTGAAGAGGAAGAAGAAGAAGAAGGAGATGACATTGAGGACGACAGTGATGATGGTGATCTGGAACATGACAATACAGATGATATTGCACCAGATGGAGAATCGGATCTTGAACTTTTGGGTATGGAACTTAATGATGCCGATGATGATGATGACGATGACGATGACGATGATGAAGATGATGAAGAAGATGAGGATGAAGATGCAGATGAAATTGGAGAACAGTATGGAGCGTGGTCAACAGCGTCTTCAGCTAGTGAAAGTGATGCAGAGGAAAATTTATTAAATCCAAGAGATGGGACGTAAATTATTTTTACACGTCATGTTTGTGCTCAAAAAAGAACATGTTTCTTTTTTCTATGAGAAATGAAAATCAAAAAAAAAGATCTAAAGAAACACGCCGTTTGCATCCTTCCTTTTTTTCACAAAAAAATCCAGAATTGATGGATGCATTCAATTTCTTAATTGGCATTTCCATCAATTTATAAATTAATGTCTTTTGCTCTCATCATATCTCTATCTTTCGTATCCATCAAAGTTGACTCTTTCCAGCGTCTCATCATATTTTTAGAGGTGCGAGTTAGGTTTTTTTGATGGAGTTTTGATCATATCATTTATAATCCAGCCATCGGGGCTTCATTTTTCGCTATATTTTGTTGTTAAACTATTATTCTTAATTTGATTTTGTTAAAGTTTTGATATAATCAATACGAACAAAATTTGTCATCCAATCATCAAGAAAATAATCATTTGAATAATCTCTTTACCCGACATTTTTAAAGGTATCATTACCATAACCTCCTTTTCAACTTTTGCGCCATCCAAAAAATAGGATAAATTTCTGTGCAATTTATACCGTCTACAAAGCCGTGTGAGTGAGTGTCTGATATAAATAAGAGAGTAGAGAAAGGTGCATAATGAGGACGAAAGAAAAATTATGAAAGGTTAGGAAAGGAAAAGAGGAATCAAGTGAAAGCGTACAAGATCAAACTTGACACAATACTAAGCAATCACCTCTATAGTTAGATATTTGGTTGATTTGGGGTTGAGTTCATTTTATGAGTTTCATACTTTTTCTTTGCGATTTTTTCGCTTCATTTGATTAGTACAGGGCGGACAGTACCACTTTCCTTTTGGCGGTTGAGTTATACCCACACAACCATAGTGAAACCATTCAAATTGACACTGCAGAAAAAAATGGTAACATTTAGTACGATGCTTTGAAAAGGTAAGTCCGTGTATATAATTACTTCTTCATTATCACAGGCAACCATTGAACCATAAGAAATTTGATTACAAAGACAATAGCGAGGTTCGTTTGGATCACAACTCCAGTCCACTGGCGTCCCATTTTCATCCACAGGCATAGTTTCTGAAGATTCGTCTATAAAGACAGTATAAAATTGTTGAAATTATTGTATCCAAAAAAGGTAAGAACAAAATGTAAACATAATTTTGAGTTCTTAATTGAGTAACCGACCTGTATCTTGATATTGACTAGAGGTGCGACTTCGTTTCGCTACTTTGAACATTCCTGTTGATCCTTCGCCGCCTGTACCAACACCCGCAGACATTAAGTTAGGAGGAACATTAGCAGCAACCCCACTAACAGCAGCTGACGCTACTGCAGCAGCATTGGAAAATGCGCCAGTTCCTTGAGAATTGAAAGACGGTAGAGTTCCTTCACGTAAGGAATTGAAATCACAGCTGATATTTTGTAAGCCAACAGCATTGATTGCTTCATAACTGGCTTTGAGACTGGCAGTCCGTCTTCCTTGTTGCATCTGAGTTTACATAGATATAAAAATTGAAGCACTCAGTAGGAATAGATATTAAGATTAAAAAATTAATTAATCTCATTTTTACCTGCTGCGTGGCCGCAATGGCTTGTGAGGCCGCAGCAGCTATAGCAGTACTACCAGCTGCAAGATTATAACTGTAAGGGACAAAGGTAAAGTTGAGTTAAAAAAAGAAAAAAAACATGTTCAAATGTTCGAAGTGTTTGAATCGTTTGAGGTTCACATTGAGTTTCAAGTAAAATACTAACAATGAGGGTGAGTGTGGTGAAGTTAAACTATTGGCCAGTAATGGATTTCCATTAGAATTAACATTGGAATTGTTGACCAAATTTGATAATGAGTTGGTAAACGTAGCTTGATTAGCCCAATTATTAAGATTGCTCGGAACTCCATGATTGGAACCTGAGCATGATGTATCACCACTTCGCGCTGTATTTCCAAATGCGGACAAATATTTTGGAAAAAGCAGTCACAATACATTAATTTTTCAATCAATTTGTGTGTTCAATGAATCACAAGTAAAATAAATAATGTACCTGAACTCGGAACTCCTTGAACGGAGTCATTATGTGAATGTTTGCGTTTTTCTCTAACGTTATTTAAATTTGAATTTGGAGGATTATCTAACTCAAGAGATCCTAGACAAGAATAAGAAAACACATTAAAATTTCTGAAGAAAATCATAAGTTGGTAATCGCTTTGTTATCTTTACGAATCCACTAAGCTTCTAATAAGAGATTTAGCGATTCGAAAAACAAACAACAAAGGTAACAAGAAGAAAACAGTTTTCGTAAAATGATGTAAATCATAACTGTGATGAACCACTTTCCAACAGAATGAGATACACATACTTCTCTCGAGAATTGCAGTTATACCAGAGTTATCAGCCTCCAATTCCAATTTGAATTTTTGTATCTCTGAGTCCAATCCTTTTAAATATTTTTCAACGAGATCACACATTTGATTAGCCAGTTCCATCTTTTCTTCGCCTTCTTCAATTGTCTTCTCATATTCTTGTATCAGTTTATTGAATTCACTATCCCTTTGATCAGTTTTCATTTTTTTGGCATTACTAAAAAATACTTTAACTTTTTCTTCTATGGCGTCCCTTTCATTGTGAACATTCATATCCATCTCTCTCATCTCGGTGAAACGATCCTTCAATTCATGAGGAAGATGTTCAATCATTTCTAGGTAATCTTCAAGAAACAACATTGTGCCAGATCAAGGAGACGGCCAATTTTTACAAACGAAAAAATGAAAGATAGACCTTTCCAATTTATATAATCAAACAATTTATCAAAAATTATCACAATTTAATTGAAAAAAAGACGAGAAGAATAAAAATTGTTATTTTGTAGTTGAACCTTTATTATTTGATGTCTGTTTTCTTTTGTTGGATCACAAAAACAACTGACAAACTGATGCTTACAACCGTCAGATGGCAACGCAACCAGATTTACCCGCGATTTTCAAACTTGTAATAAAAAGGTAATTTTACAATTTTAATGAACATCTTTAATATAAATCTTTAATTGCTTAAGAAAAAAAAACAATTGCAATTTCTGATTATGAATATCTTTAACGTCTAAACATAACAGAAACTTTGGGCAGCTGAAACACGATGAAATTCATCACAAGACAAACACTTTGAAATTATCTTTGACTTAAAACAAAATTCATCGTTTAATTGCTATTTTATTGCTGAAGCTGAATACTTGTTCATGTTTGGAAATCGCATCGTTTGTGCGAAAAATTACAATATTTATAAGCATTATAAAGAATTACATTAAAAACAACAGGAAAAGGGAAAGCTGAAGGGTAAACCAAAGGAGGATGCTGATGAACATGAACTTTTAGGTGAGAAAACAAAAAAGGTGACAAAGTTGGTTAGAGGAATAGTAATCAACCGTAGAAGCCTCCACGACCATAACCTCCTCGGCCTCCTCCATAACCGCCACCATATCCTCCTCGTCCACCACCATATCCACCTCGGTATCCACCACCTCCGTATCCACCTCGGCCATAGCCGCCACCGTATCCACGTCCACCACCACCGTATCCTCGGCCATAACCACCACGACCATATTGGGCATCAACAGAGGGAAGGAAAGCAGCGCCGAGAACAGCGAGAACCAATAAGGCAACAAAGATGACTTTCATTTTGAGATTAAGAGTTGAGATTTTTTTTGCACAACGGAAATAATGAGATGAAAAACTTTAAAAGTGTTTTAGTTGAAATTGAGCTTAAGAATGATTTTTTCGTTGAAAGATTGGTCCTTATGAGCAGTGCAGAAAGGAGCAATGAGAAAATTTCCTCAAGGGAGAAGAAGAAAATGTTGCAATTGTTGAAAAAAATTTTTTTAGGGAAAATTTACTGATCATCATCTTAATTATCTGATTCCCATTACCTTGAGATGTGTTTACTCGACTTTTCATGCAAATTGGACTTGTTATTAATACAAGAAATGTGAAAATATTACCGGTTTTTCAGTGTCTAATTATAAAGAAATGTCAAGTGGTTTGCCTTGAATTGGATAACAACATCAATGTAGAAGGTATTAAAAGGTATTACATGATTGATAACAATCAAAGTTACCAACCGCTAGTACAACAGCTTTTAACCAGGCAAAGAAATCGGGTTGACGGGAGAGAGTGAAACAATGAAAAGTAAATTAAATTGGTGAATTAAAAAGTGAAGTGACAAGTATGATAATTTCATGTTGACACAATTAAAAATTCGGCGTAAAATGTCTTTGTTTTTTTGTTTTCATTACTGGTCCTCCTCGTCTTAATTATCTGGTTCACATTACCTTGAGATGTGTTTACTTGGCTTTTTATATGTAAACTGGACTTGTTATTAATACAAGTGATGCGAAAATATTACTGGTTTTTCAGTGTCTAATTAGGAAAAAAAAATGTCAAGTGGTTTGCCTTGCATTGGAAAACAGCATCAATACCATCCTGATGGTATTGCATGATTGACAACAATCAGATGTTACCCACCGATAATACAACAGCGTTTTACCAGGTAAAGAGATCGGGTTGACGTAAAGGAGGAAAATTGAAAAGCAAATCAAATTGGTGAATTAAAGCAATACAAAAGTTGAAAAATTTGGTTTACATGTAAATTGCTCGTCAAGCTTCATTAATTCAACCTTTAGATCAACCTTAACTTCAAAACATACTTGCGTGACAATTCAACTGGCTTTCAATCATTCAATATTGACCAATCATCAAACTAAAAAGATGCTGTATAAGTTGAGTCAAACTTGTTATTTTTACTCATAGACCTTAGGTTTAACCCAAAGTTAAACATCAGCTTATTTTGCATCATTATTGAGACAAAAAACAATTTAATGACTAAAAAGCGTCAAGTTTGCAGTCTTTGGTTTTGAATAAAGTTGATGTCAAAGGTGCAAACGTTAGTCTTGACTCATCTTTAAGTTTCATATTACTAGTCAAAGTTTAAGATGAAAGTCATAGGTTTGTGATCAGTTAATTTTGCATTATTTTTATGACAAAGAGGTTATAATAACCTAATCTAACCTTACCTAACCTAACCTAACCATTGTAATTAAAGGCCATTTACTTTAATGATTCAAAGTTGATTTGAGTCTAACAAACTCATTATATTGGAAAGTTATTTATAGAAATGGTTCATCTTTAACCTGTAACTTTGAACATTTTCTCCCACAGATTGTCAATAGCGTTTCTGCGATTAAAGCAAATGGACGATTATAATCGATATATCTCTTGATTAAATCGGAACGAATTTTCATGAGATTTGTTTCATTTTACTTGATTTTTCTAGAGATGGGCGATAACATTGATTGCACGGATCGATTTTTTTCAGAAAATGAGCAGCAATTAGTTTTTGAGATAAGCTTCATATGAGCTGAACTCACGAATTTTGCGATTCCATGCTTGCAGAAAAAAATAAAAGGGAAATCGGCATAATTTTAGCAACTCAGAATTAAAAAAACTTGACTCTTGCAGTGATTCCAATGCCATGCAAAAGACCAATTTGTATTTATTGATGTAAAGAAGAGCCTCAAACTTGAACAAGTTTCTTGAATGCTTTAATATTTAATATTTTCCTACCTTGATTAAGCATCGATTCCCTTGGGCTAATCGTTAAAAATATCGATTAACTGATTAATCGAGAATCGCCCATCCCTAGATTTTTCTACTTTTAGAAATGTCTGTTCAATTTCGATCAATGAGAAATTTTTGATTCTGTAATATGTATTTTCTTTAAATTTTTTAATAATTCCATTTTAATACGATGAATTTGGCCAATATTCATGATTGTATTTATTGAAATCCCTCGATTTTTGCGATTTTTTCAATGATGTTTTAATCAACGATTAAATCGATATTCCTTCTAAATTAATCAAAATCGTTGATTTTCAGAAATCGAGAAACACTATTTGTCAATGAAGTTTTTTGAAACAGTGAAAGGTTGGAATGTGCTTTGATCAGTGTTAAGTGATCAGAAAAGGTAAAGTGCAAAGTTAACGGCAATTTTACTAGGCACACGCTGAAGAGTTTCGCTTGGTTGGCTAAATATGTGCTTTTCGTCAGCTGGAAATGAATTCTTCTTATGTTCAAAGCTGATGAATTGAATGCGGCAAGGGAACGATTGGTTTTGTAATTGAAAAGAGCAAAGTTGAAAAGTTGTTTATGTTGTTTGAAAAGCGCATTATTTGCGCGAAAAATTATTCACTACAAATTTTTGATCGGTTTATCTCATATTAGAGGTCAGTTTGAATTTTTAAAGAGATTGAACTAAACTGCTTAGATTCTGGGCTTTCATTTGATACTAAATTTGCACATTTTTATTCAAACCATAGCTAGTAAACGGAAATCTAACGAACTCCTTTTTAATCAAGTCTGCCAATTGCCATAGAAAAGTGAAAAAAATCGATTGTGTTGACCGAGCGTTCTAACCCTCCCAACCACCCCCAAGCTCGCTCAATTGAGGAATTTTGGGCTTTATGTTATGCCGAGTATTCGCAAAGGTCAACACTCCTAGACAAATGTGTGATTTCACCAAAATATGGACTAATATATCGAAAAAATTTACCGAGAGCTCCGGCAAAAATCTTTTGGTCGACTTGAAGAAAAAATTACGTAAAGCATCGAGAGCTGGGCCATTTTCAATAATTAGATAACCAACTTGTAGCTTGATTTCAGCAATATCATTTTATAAAAATCCATCGAATTGCCTGTTTTCATTATTTAATTATTAAGTCTCAAAGTTTGTGGCTCTACTTTTGTTCCACCCTTTATTTGCGCGAAAAATTATTCACTATTTTTGGCTTTTCTTTCCTTTTATCTTTGGGTTACTAAATGAAAGGTGTGACCATTGAGACAAGTTTACGTATCAAGGGTCAGTCTACTTGGACACAGTGTTTGTCATCTTACAGTTTCTTTTGCTGACTTTTCCTTTTCATTGTCGCTTCTATTAATGAAATCATTTATATTTCACTCGCCTTTCAACCTCTTCTTTTGTATCTTCTGGCCTTTCAATCTTCTTTCCCTGTTAAGATAATTCATAGCATCTTCCAAGGGTTATCCAATGGTCATTCAGTAAAATACAGTTTAAAAGGTCGTTCAATTTTCTATTTGACTTGCATTGTGTTGCTTGAGATAAAGTGAAATTGGTCTTGAAGTGACAAGTATAGTACTTTGGAAATGTTCACACAACAAAAAATTTGGCTTGTCTTCGTTTTTGTTGTTGTGACTGGTCATCGTCGTCTTAATTATCTGATTCCCATTACCTTGAGATGTGTTTACTCGACTTTTCATGCAAATTGAATTTAATATTTATACAAGTAAAGTGAAAATATTACCGGTTTGTCTAATTAGAAACAGTTACCAAAAGGTTTGTTGAATTTGATAACAACACTTATCATGATGGTATTACATGATTGACAACAATCAAATGTTACCAACCGCTAGTACAACAGCGTTTAACCAGGTAAAGAGATTGGGTTGACGGGAAGAGAAATTGAAAAGCAAATCAAATTGGTGAATTAAAATCAATACAACAGTTGAAAAAAGAGGAGACAAAATATTGAATCTCAGGCCTCATATTCAGAATAAAATAAACCATGTATCAATCAGAAACTTGTGACGAGTAGAGATGACTAAAAATCAGATCAAAATTCAAATCTCCTGGGGAGTTATTCATTAACTTCCTTTGAACCCCATGAGGATCACATTAGACCTAATTTTTCAGATCGAACTTTTTATGCTGATTTTTCTTGTTTCATTTTCATTGGAAGTAATGAATAATGATCAAGTCACAGAAAAAGCATGTTTAAAACAGAGAAACTCATAGCTCATGAACTTATCGCAAATTTCTTTCCACTGAATACATTAAAATCTCATTGGAAGATTCGAACTCTTGATGAAAGAACATCACCAATGAGAGAGACCAAAACATAAAATAATATCTGAACATACAGCTAACAAAATGAAATCTAAGTTCGAACTTTGAAAGGGATTCTATCGGCAATCTTGGATCAGAGAAATTTTCAATCAACCGAATAGCTCCAGTTCTTATATCTCTTATGCCTTTGCTTATATGACCAATGACATTAGTGTCTTTGGTTGTCTCGCTAAAGTTAGATATCTTACTCATGAAAGTGCTTTATTTTGCCTTTGACATTTGTGCTGAATTAATTAAACATTATTGGAATACGCACTCTATCGAATATTAAATTTATTTTTTTGCTTGTTTGAAATTGGCTCAATCGCCTTTTGCTCAATGCTTATTTGCTCATGTTTTTTGTTCAAATAGACCAATGAATCATTAGTGTCTAGCATGGTAAATTCATTGGTAACCATTGAGGATGTATTGATGGTAAAGTTGTAGATGGCCAATTTATTGGGTTAAGTTTTTATTCGGCTTTTGTCGTTGCATTTCAAGTCCATTTCCAAATTTTTCATTCCATTCTATTCCATGCAATTAATGTGTTGACTAAGTGTTCAATTCACAGTTCTGTGATCGTCCAACCAATGAATAGTCCAATTCAATTCAACACGGAAAAGGCGAAAAGATTAAGAGTGAAAAATATTTATCAGAGTTTTTTGAAATAATTTGGTTAAAATCTTACAAAAGCTTCTTATCTTCGCTCATTTTCTCACCAACCATTTTAAAGTCTTTCAAATCACAGTTTATGGTGAGTTCAAATACCATGATGAATGAAAGATTATATCAAAAGTTAAAAGGCAAGGTAACGAAAAATGGTTGACAGGAAAAGTTACTCAGTTTTTTTTCTTTTACATCATGCATTTGCTTATCTACTTTGGAATTTTTTCTCTTTCTTTTGGCTGCTTTTGTCTAATGCAACTGGGAGTGAAAATGAGCAGCTTTTATCATTATATTTATCATTATGTTTTTTCTTTACTATCATCATTATAAAAGAGCAACAATGATAACTTGATCTTTTACTTATTCTGGTAACCCATCATTAGCTGAGTAAAATTATTTGGTAAGAAAAAGTCGAAAATATCGACTCAATAATTGTTCTGACTTTTTTAAAACTCTTTCATATCATTTTACTTTAGTTCATTTGAAGCAGGATCAACTTACCGATTCTGTTGGTGTGAAATTGAACAAATTTGAGGTTAAATAATCCACCAGAAAGGGAAGCTGAGTTGTCTGATTGGAATTGATAAGTTTTTGAAACGTTAATGTAGCGTTAACTGGAAATCAAGAAATCGGAAAATGATGAGAAGAGGAAATGTTGTGATGAAAAATCATGTGACGTGTGAAGGGTTAAGTTTGGCAAAACGAAATTTGCGCTCTATTTTGAATGTTTGAATTTTTAAAGTTTAGTAAATGAGTAAAAATATTTACCTTGCTCTCGCAACAAATAAGAGAAAATAAAATTGTCATAATCCAGTTCGCATGCTAGTATGGCTTTATAATATTTTATCCAAGTGGATTGAGCTATTCAATTGACAAAAATACACACATTTGATCATTAATGTCTTTTTAAATTGATAAACGACATTTATAACTGCCATGAAATCTGTTTGCCCTTTTCACTTCCAACTATCGTTGCAGTTTTCATTTTGATTGGGTCAACATTAGATGGACATGAGACTAAGAGTTTGCCCACAATTTCATCGATTCATTTGTATATTTGTGGGTGAAGTGCCTCCATCTATCTGATTTAATAACAAATAAAAGTGTTATGAATGAACTAACAAGGGAACATATTTACTTATGACTCACCGATTTTGATGAGACATGCCACACTCGATATGGCCAACATTCAATACAAACGTACTGGCGTCCGTTTTTCTGAAGATTTAGTGGTTCCTGATATTTTTGGCTTTAAAATGGGAAGACTTTTATTGAAATCATCTCTAAAACCCTTAAAACTATCGCATAAGGCTTAGCCTGGTAGGTAAAGGAGTAGGTGCATATGTTTAAGCCATCTCTCAGAACTAACGGCTAACTATCACATCAACACTTGATGATGAATATTGACTCGGTTTCAGATAACATCTGAACCAACATCATTGGTGACTTTTTTTGTAAATCAATTTAAATGATTTAGAATTTTTAACTGAAATTTTTAATAAATTTTTGTTGGTAATATGAATCGAAGTCTTGAAACCGTGACCTCTGAGTGCAAGCCAAGGCACAGAAACAACGAACCAAAAACCTCCAGACTTGCACCTACTCCTTTACCTACTAGACCAGACCTTATTAGATAGTTTTAAGGGTTTTAAAAATGATCCCAACAAAATGTTCAAATTTTATAGCCAAAAATCTCAGGAACCACCAAATCTTCAGAAAAACAGACTCCAGTACGTTTGTATTGAATGTTGGCCCTATCGATTGTGGCATGTCTCATCAAATCGAGAAGTCATAAGTAAATGTGTTCCCTTGAAAGATTATTTGCATGAATCTAGGCCATGTTTCTTTAAAATTCAACTCTTATTCCAAGTGATAAATGAATGTCTGGATTGGTAAAAGCAAGTAACAAGGGAAAAGGAAAAAGGAAAAGGAAAAGATGAGGAAAAGTGAAATCAAGAATATTTGAGTGTAAAGTGTTGCGAAGTAAATATTGACCAGAGATTGTTGGTTCACATTATTGGATTAATGTTCGTTAATTCGTTTACGTTCATCATCTGCATTCATTTCTTGTCTTTTCTTTCCTACTCTTTTATCCATACTATTTACCCAAGAGATGAACATTTCACTTTAACTTCATCAGCAGCTTCAATTTTGTCTCTGCTTTCCCAGTCTTTGATCCTTCTATCCTTTCAATGATTGAACCTACCAACGGATATATTATTCAGTGTTGACTGGGAGGGAAAAGTTTTACCAGTAAATTAATGTGATACAAGACTGTTGAACGTGACTACAAGAGACTAACATAAGTTTGTTTGACAATTAGACAATCAAATGGGAAGAACAAGTTGCTCATTCGAATTTCAGTCTTTCTTTCTCTTTTTTCCATGATTGACTCGAACCATTTTACACCAATATCTCTTTATTCAATCAACTTTTTTCTCTCCTCACTTTTAGCTTTTCATCGATTCATCATTTCAGTTACTCACTGTTACTTTGAAATTGATGAACCATAAAATTTAAGCTCAACAAGAGACGAAAATTTTCACTTTCCATTCCATGTTTCATTTGTTCAGAATCTTTTTCCTTTTCTTTTTCTCCTCTTCTTCCCTCTTCTTGAGCCTGTTTCAATTTGATCCAGATAAAGGGTATCAATTAGCTACTGATATGTTATCGATTAAAGTCAACCATTATTTATTGTGAATGCTCCAATGGAATAAATTATCTCTACATTTTCATGGTAAACGTGTGAATAAATGATGACTTTCTTTTCACTTTTGCTTTTCGCTGTTTGGATAAAATTCAGTTTCGAGAGAAAAGATTCAGGGAAAAATGTTATTATCTGTTCGTTAAGATGCTATGTTAAATCGATTACCATTATTTTCTGCTATTATTAGGAGATTTTTTTCTTCTTCTCGCTCCAGTTTTTATTCCTTCTTCATTCAATTTTCACTTTTGTTCATAACATACCACACATTAACTGAATGCAAACAGATGAAACATGATGATGATGGTGTTGGTAAGAAAAGTGGAAGAAAATTTTATCGATTATTTCATCTTACAATTGCAAGGGAGGAAAAGATAATGAATAGACTGAGCATCTTTTCATACAGAATCAGAATAGTTTTTTTTACTCAGTCTTCCATTTGTCTAGATGATTAAAGTAGAGAAAACATTTTTATTAAAAAAAAGTCAGATAAACTTGGATAATGTTGAAGTAAAAGGCAAAATGGTATTAATAAAAATTATCATGAAAGAAAAAGCAAATAATCAGAGAAAATAAGGGAAAAAGCTTAAGAAGAATGAGGGAAAAAGAGTAAAAATTAATTTCATTCCAGACGAAATGCATTTATTAGCTTTTCATTTTCCAGTTTCAACTTTTGCTTCTTCAATTATTCTGGAAAATTGAATACAAAATTTAAACTTTATTTAAATTTAGACTGATTTCATCTTTTTCATTTCTATTGCTGTGCTTTGTTATTAAAAGTAAAACATTTTTTTTCTCGACTCTTGTTTGTTGCCTGAAATTGCACCGATGACAAGATAAATACACAGAACTAAATACACAAAGACTGATGAGGATAACAGGAATTATAATACAACTGCAAAGATGATATTGATGATTATGATGACTTAGAGTAAATTTTCTCTGATGGTTCTGACAACTGTTATCGACATGTTTTCTGTCTCATCCAATATTTACTCCTTTAGTCTTATTTGATTATCATTATTATCATAATTACTTTCGTCAAGCTTGGAGTGATGTTAACGTAATCCTTACAAAGTAACTCACCAAAATATAACTGATTTGATACAAATTAGTAGCATTAAAAATTTCAGATCTTTGAACTTGAACCTAAATTTTTCAATTCATGAACTTTATATCATGAACTGAAAATAGATTGAACAAGAGAATTCCATAAAAGCACAATCATGATTTTAATTTTAATCAAAATTCAATGCGAGAAAGGGTTGCTCAAACTGAGAACCTGGCAGGTGACGATCTGAAAGGTGATGTTACTGCAGATGATGAAACTACCTACTACTCTGTTGTCGCTTGTGAATATAAGAATATTGTTGTTAGCTTAGGATATATTGGGGCCAATATTTATGTAAGGGTATTTTAAAATTATTTTCATCGTGTACAACATACGAATAATTTGCTGGTGCTTTCTCGGTTGGCTTTTAATTTAAAAACAACTTTGAAATAATTCCTGAAATCCACACAAAATAAAATCTGCCATTTTTTCACAAAGATATGCATTGTGGAATGAAAAATCTATATTTTAAGCACATATTATGCTGGTTCAGAATTAACCTTTGTTGGCTGTAAAGTCATAAAATTGATTCCCTTTGTTCAATAAAAATATCTCTGATGGACAATCATTGGCAAAATTGAATTAAAAGTTGAAACTGGTGTAGTTTTTAGAATAGACTCACCATATTTTTTCAGCAAAATTTACACTCGAAAAAGGTTTAGTACTCCTAGTCCAACAATAAACCATAACTAAATGTAGAAAAGTCGCATCTTCGAAGTTAGTTGAAAACATTCGGATACGTTAAAAAATTTTTATTAGCTTCAGTTTGTTTTGAATTTAGCTCATATGTTTCAGCCCATCTGATGGTTATTCTAAAATTTTACACAATCATATTGATGCTGATTGCATATCTCGAGATCCTATAGAATATCGTAAGCATTTTTTGAGCTCAGCTTTGTCAGCTCGATTCTCGGCTCGTTAAAGCCCAAGCATGTGGTTTATGATTTGTGTTTCTTGCTTGATAGTAGTAAAGGCTGTTAAGAATAAAAAACTACTTTTGACTGAGTTTGGGAACCAGTGGGCACTTTAGTTGGTGCATTGAGTACCAACTTGAATAATTCCCCAATTCTTGATTCATAATTAAATATTAAAAGTGCCAAATGCCTGTGAGTTACATTATAATGGTATTCGCATTATAATGGTGAAGATAGAGTCAGCAAGAATAGGGACACCAGAACCTATTCAATTTGTGGAGAATTACCAAGACGTAAACTCTACAAATGTGCCTCCACTCCAGCCAGGCGGGTAGCAATACGCATATCGCGATACCTTGATGTAGATAGACGTTATAAATTGTCTATTGTTGGACCTGGATTCCATTATCTTTACGCTTTTGATTTAATAAATTAGTACAAAAATGGCTACTGAGCAAGGAGCAATTGACTCGGACTCTAGTGACTCTAACCAGATGAATAGAGCGTTTTCACTGAGAAGTTAACTTAATCAACTTATTGTCACGTAAACTCAGCGATCTGACGTTTCTTTTGGTTTTTAGAGAGAAAAGCAAACGTCTGAAATTGAATATCAAGTCAAAAAAGATCTAAGAAGTACCTTTTCCTGGAACTATTTTATTGCAATTGTATCTTCGGCATAAATAGGGCGTTTTCTTTTATTTATGCTATCACTTGAGGTGATCTTCTTCCCAATTGATTTCTTTTTTTACTTCATTCAGAGAAAATTGTTGACCCTACCAATGGCATTAGTCCTCCACCTCCTCAATCATCAGATTCGTCATCACAACAATCTCAATCATGTTTCTACTCTCGATCCTTCATGCACTCCAAGATCAGAGCTTTAGCGTCAACTACAACAAAACTTCAAGAAACTAGTGATATTGCCAATATTAAAAATTATTCTATAGCTTGTCAATCTACAAAAATTCACGACCAATCTGAATTGCTGACTAATTCTGAAATGGTCGAAATGAAAGACACCGAGAATGGTATTTCTAATCATGGTGGCTCAACGAGTAGAGAAATTGAACTGTGACAGTCCACTGTGAAAATAAATATGTTAGCTAAAACTATAAAAATATCAAGAATATTGTAATCTATTCAGGATGTGACAACCGCTTTATGCCATATGTATTTTTGTATCATTATCATTTTCCTCTTTGTACATATCTCATAAATTATATCTAGGAAGATGGAGATGACAATAATAGAAACGTGTTTTGATACGACCATCGTTTGCTTTTCTTTCTTTGCATTTTTATCATTGTTATCTTCATCTTCTTAGGTATCATTTTTAAGATAAAAGTAGTTTTTATCCGTAACACCCTTTGAATATCTACAAAGAAAAGATATTCTGTGTAAT